TAACAATGAGCTAACGCTAACATGAGCCAATTGATAGTTAAATAAACCTCGAGGTAAAAAGATCCACACTGTTGGAAAAATAAATATTATTACTTAGAAGTCCAGTAGCAACAAAGCCAGGTCACAATCAGTCTGTGGTTTTGTAGCCTCCTTTAGCTCTCTCAAACTGGCGTAGGCCACGCCAATGCTTACTCTGGTTTTAGCTCTTTGCTTCATCTCCAAATGCGTTACTCTCTTACTTTTACTTCCAGGCTCCGCCATGATGTCAGCAGACATCGCAAACTTCTTCTTTTTCTTCTTCTTCTTCTTGTGCTTTTTATTGACAGTCGGCGAACTGAAAAGGTAACCGCTACCACGGCAGCCGTAAATCAGGTAAAGTGCGCCCCCTAGGACACCCACCTGCTCCAACGTTTGGGGGCGTATCTGGTCAACAGGGGGCAGAAGAGGGATGTCACATATGAAACGGGTCAAGTTTCTAACTCAAGAACCACTGAAACCGACGTTAAAGCTGTAGCTTGAAGTTTAAAAAACTATTTAGTGTTGGGTGAATATCTGCAAACCGAGATGAGGTGCAGCACAGAGGGGTGAACCAGAACTCCTCCAGAACCTCGGGAGACACTGACGAGGTCAAACAGGAAACGCTTCAGGAGGTGGGCTCTGTCTTTCAAGCAGCTTTAACACTCTGGCTGTTTATGTTTAAAACAATGACATCAGGTGGACTTTGCTGTTAGCATGACTGCAGTACAGCGAGCAGGTGAGGACGCGAAACAGCTGATTTGTGAACCTCATTACTCAATGTCAACATATTTAATAACAAGTACGATGAATGGCAGCATAAAACGTCCAGTTACCTGCAGTGAGATAAAAATACCCGTCACCGCAGCAGCAGCAGCAGCAGCAGCAGCAGCAATATTCTGTGGGTGCTGTGTAATAGGCATCTGTTTGCTCTGGGCAGACTTCAGATCCCAGCACTATTGATTATGAGTAACGCCAGATGCCAGAGTTGGATGAGCGATGAGCAGCGAGAGGATGAAACTGATGAGAGCGCCACAAGGAGGCTGTTTGTCTTTTGGCTCGGGAATTGAGTCAAAACTCACAACCTTCAGAATCCATCAGCTTCCAGCTGTCCTGCAGAATACAGGTTTATTAAAGCGCATTACGCAAGCTGACACTTCCATCCCCGCCGCCTTTTAAATGGCATCGCCTTTGAGACTCCGTCACGTGCTCCTTCCTGCTCCTGCTCACGCCTAAATAGCTGCCGGCACGTGAAGAACTCCTTTTATTTGTTTATTGAGAAATGCACAGCTTACTTTTCAGATTTGAGATTAATCCAATGCATTCTTGGGTAATCTTATCCCTGAATGTCCTATTTATATTATTTTAATCCAATTTATGAATAATGCCTCGTAAAGCCGCAGCCGTGCACTGCTTCTCCTCCCTCGCTGGAGCCAGACCGTCTCTGCTGATGGTTTTCTGTATTTTCCAGTCGGGTGTATTGGTACCACTCACAGCGATGAGCACACAGTCCCAGCAGAGAGCTGCTGTGCTGGGGCTGCTGCTTCACATCTCTGGGACTTGGGCGATGTTTTGCCCCGCTTGCACGCCGGAGCTTTACGGATATATTTAAAGAAAAGGCTTTTGTGTTGCGGTGGACAGGATTTAGTGTTCCTCCAGCTTCTCGCAGCCTGCACCAGCAGAGGGGGGTGTGCTCAAGTCAGGAGGAGGAGGAAGCCTGAGATGCTCCTCAGCAGCCACACCCTGAAAGGAACAGGGCTGGAGAAAAGCCGACAGCAGCAGGGATGTTTTAACAGCAGCTGAGCCGAAACCAGCTCTCACTCCCCTGTTTATTAGTACAACAGTTTAATGACGATTAGATCTCATCAGCTCTCTAACAGACTCCATTAGATCATATCAGACAGCAGACATGAGCTCTCTGAGATGGATGAATTCTCCTTGGTGGAACTGTAATTGATTTTCTGGGCTCTGAGGTGAGATCTGACGTTGTTTCATCACCAGAACCATAAAATGCAACAACCTGGTAGAGGCAGATTCGTACTTTACCTCATTTATGGGTAGAAGGGCATTATGTGGCAGTTCAATTAGCTAAAAATGGTTCAAATATATATTTCTGCAGGGCTTTATGTTATAATATGGGATGAATTATTCACATACTTGCTTTTGATATTCATCCCTCAGGGCTTTTTTGCTCTTTCTTCTCTCTATAAAAGCTGTATTTTTCCCCGGTGATGCTTTTTATTCTTCCGGAGAAAATGACCAGACAAAATCTTTGAGTTCAAATCAGAGCAAGATGGAAAAAGCTCATTGTGTGGCCTTTTTTTTTTCTTGTGTATGATGAATGTGCACCAGCTCAGGGGCTGTAATATTTCATGTAGTGTAATTTGGTAAAGCCAACGTGCTGAAGTGGCACTTTGATCTCATCACAGTGGAAAGACTGACAGGACCTCAAATCACGACAGTCTGCACAGCGGCCGAGCAGCCAGGACCTGCCCGTGCCGTATAGAGCGCTGATTAAAAAGTTATACATTCAGAAATTAACAGCTACAGTTTCTACGTTTGGCTTCAAATTATGCAACACAGCGCATTAATATCTATTTGTGTAAAGCTAAATACAAAAGTTTAGAATCAAATCAAAAAATTTAAAGTTTATTAAAAAATATTTTGATTCAACTCTAAATATCCAAAAGTCAACGTGCAGATTTAGAGCAAAATTGAAATATATAAAATGTATTCTAAAAAAGCAGATTAGTAGTTTCTAGATCTGAAGGTCTAGAAAAGTACAGATCAAAAGTTAAAGAGCAAGTCACTTCAAATCACCATTTTTTTTTGCTGATAAACTATATAAATGAGTGTCTGATTGTGCTGCAGACAAATGTAGTCAATAATTTGGCACTTTAGACACTCTTAGTTCAAATTTAAATATTCTGCCTAAAACGGTCAGCGATGCACCGTCGTCAGGTCAAAACTCAGCACTGCATTTGAGTTTAAATCTGCCGTCGCTATTGGCTAAGAGGTACACTATGATGTTAGATGGTACATTATGATGTCACAATGTCGTGAGTGTGTGTATTTGTTAGAGGCTCCGCCCTCTCGGTCTGCTAGGCAACAGCCTTTGTTGCATTTTTCAAACCGGAAGTGGGAGTTGAGTAAGAATCTGGCAGGGGGTGACTTGCTCTTTAAAGTTTAATTTTTATATTGATTTCTAAATATAACAGTTGTGAACTTATCCATCATGCACATTCAAACTGATGTAAACAGGAAGTTGCAGACCACAATAGCAGGGTGGCACTTTCTGAAACCTCTTATCAGTGTTCATGTGCTTGTAGATTGAGAAATGATCCAAAGTTGAATACATTATACGAACTCATAAGACGCACGCTAGCCAAATGTTTTGTTTCAAAGCACATCTTCTTTTGGCATTTAACATTTAGATGCAACATAAACATTTCCATTTAATTCTCCAGCAAATGGAATGTAACTTTATTAAAATTTGATACGTTTTGATTAGATTTCAATTATATGGTTTTAATGTTAAATGTTTACGTTCTATCTTGAGGGTTTGGATTTAGGTTTATTTAAATATGATTCTGAAATGTTACTGCCAACATTTACAATTGGTTTTTAAAGAGCATGTCACCCCCTGCCAGAGTATTACTCCACTCCCACTTCCTGTTTGAAAAATGCAACAAAAGCTGTTGCCTAGCAGACCGAGAGGGCGGAGCCGCTAACAAATACACACACACTGGCTCACAACAACATTGTGACATCATATGGTACCAGCTAACATTCTAGGGTACCTCTTAGCCAATAGCGATGTCAGATTTAAATTCAAATGCAGTGCAGAGTTTTTACCTGACAACAGCACAACACTGACAGTTTTAGGCAGAATATTTAAATTTTAACTAAGATGCACTGAAGTGCTAAATTATTTACTACACGTGTCTGCAGCACGATTAGACACGCATTTATGTAGTTTATCAGGGTTAGGGTTAGGTATAGTTTAGCAGGAAAAAAAGTAGATTTGGTCTTTAAATGAGTAATTATTCAGATTTGAAACTAAATATTTTTTGTCAGAATATTTAGTTTTTAACATGGTTGTTAGATTCAAACACAAAAATATATTTTCTTAAATAAAAATGGTTACATTATTAGTTTCAGTTTATTTGTATAAATATATTCTGCGCCCCATACAGTTAAAATCAGATCATTTTATATTTCTCTGGATGAAAGAAGTTGGGAAAGCTGATGGGTTTTCCAGGTTTGTGTGAATATTATTATTGTTGTTATTTTTTTTACTCAACATCATTAACTCAACTGAAAATTTTGGGGGTGTCCCACTAAAGCCCTCACGTGTCTGAGCCAAGTGGGTAGAAGTCTGAAAGTCTGTCTCAGACACCCACAGACCATTAGGCGCTGCTCCAAGAACCATAAATCATCACTAATAAGTTCGTGATGATTTCAGTGATGCTGGACTTCCTCCATCTGATAAATCGACTCAGTTGCGTAAAAGCACTCGCAGCGCGCCATTTTCCTCTAATTTGTAAAGAGGGCTGATATTCGTAATAAAACGCGGAGCTTAACGCTAATAGAAGAGTCTTGGTGAACTCGGACTGCTGAAGACACTCCTCCTGCTCCCGCGGCTCCGCTCCCAGAGGCAGTCGATGCGCGGGAGGAAATTCACAGCCCCATCTTTATCAGCACCATCGCCGCGAAGACAAAGAGAAAGGAAGAGCTCTGCAAAAGCCACGGAGATGTGCTGCGGTAGCAGCGGGAGGAGAAGCCGCCGTTAAAGTCACTGTTACCGCAGCCGAACCCGCCCGGAGGCGCCGCGGCAGGAGCCGGTCCTTGGAGACCGTTCGGGGACGGGATGCGCAGAGACGAGAGTAAAGAGCAAGGGGGGACGTGATTGGCTGCGCTCATCCTAAAAGCATCAGGCGCGGCGCGAGACATGTTTGTTCCAGTCGGTGGATTAACGAGCTGCCATCAAACTTAAAGCGTTTCTGTGTGTGTGTGTGTGAGTGTGTGTGTGCGTATGTGTGTGTGTGCGCGCGCGCGGTGCCGTTCAGCGGTGAACTTCCATCATCTCCACAAAGCAAAGAGGTAGCTGTCCGTGGTGCTGAAACAACGAGCTCAACTAGTGAAGAAGAGGAGGAGGAGGAGGAGCGCTTCTCTTCGTCACCACTTTGGGAGCTTCATGGTGGATTTAGGAGCCCTCCTCAGGTAGGTCCAGAGGACATCTGGTCATCTTCTATGAGCGGATTTTTCAGAACACCTGAAGCACCGAGGATGTTTTCCTGTCCTTTATAGAAACTGCTGCTTGTGTTCTGGTGAGACAGACTTTATTCTCTCACCAAGTTTATCATCAGCCCATTTGAGCTGGTTTAGTTGAACACTTTGATTTTGTGTAGATTACTCTGGGTTTTAACCCTCTAAACCCAGAACTGTTGCTGCAGCTTCTTTAGTTTTCCTTTTGGGTGTTTCTGCTCATGCCTGGCTGTTTTCAGCTCAGTAACATCAGAGCTTGGACCTGCAGGGATCTGCTGCACGAGGAACATCAGATCCCTGCTTCTCTGTCTGCTGAGCTGAACCCACCTGCTGCTCAGCTTCTGCTCCTCCTGTCCTGCTTTTCTGATGAAATTAGCCGATTTGTTCCACTCTTGCTAATGCTCTTCTTACTCTTATATCCTCCTGTGGCTAACCCTGAGGTGGGGGTTGTGACCACTTTCTATTGTAGACAATCACGCCGCAGCTTTTGGAGTAAACCTCGTGTTTGTGTTGCTTGTTGTTCAAAAACTTCAGTCGGCATTTTATTCCAGAAGAGATATTTTTGTGCATCATGTTTTTAATAGTTATTTTCAATAGATGTAACTCCTTAGCAATGACCTTCCCAATTTCTAATTAAATAGGAAATATTTTCTTTGCTCACTTTTATTTTATATTTGTGTGAACAAAAAAGTTAGCGACTTAGAAGCGGTGAGTTTTCTCTGAATTCAGGTCTAATTTCAGGCGCTGATGTTTTTGCTGGTGTGAAAAATACCTCACAAACCAGTAAATGAGAGTTTTTAGGAAGGTCACAGCAACCAACTGAAACAAAATGTAAAAAAAACGGCGAAAAAAGCAACAAAACAATGAGCTGGTCATTGGAATCAGCCAGGATTGTGCGTAACATAACATGGTGGTGGTCGGAGGGACCGGTGGCGCCAGTGCTCAGCAGCCTCGCCTGTGTCCGTGCACCCCAGGGCAGCTGTGGCTACATCGTAGCACATCCCCACCAGTGTGTGAATGTGTGTGTGAATGGGTGAATGACTGATTGCATTGTAAAGCGCCTTGGGGGGTTCCAGGATGGCGCTATATCAAAATACACGCCATTTACTATTTTATCATAACAGGCCAATACATGAAAGTCAGATTTTGTTTTTGGTCAGTGAACTCACCGTGAGATCCAGTAATTCTAACTAGCAACAACAGACCCTCCCCGTGGACACTTTTACATCCAGAATCACAATTTTCAAGTCAATCCGAAATTTAAAACTGTGTTTTCTGATTATTTTATCACTGAGAGAGGATTTTTTATCAGCGGGTCAGAGTGGTACGTAGCCAGGAAAACGGTATCGGTTCTGAAAACTAGAATCGATGCATCTGTCGCTAACACTGAGTCTGTTTCACGGCAACTGAGCTAAAATCTGATGTTTAGGAAGCTGAGCGTCTTTTCTGACCGACAAGACAAATCTGACATCAAACGATGGATTTGAACAAAACTCTCAGAAGGTGTTCGTTAGACCTTCATTCATTTAACTTTTAGGGTCCAGCTGATTGAAAAACGTCTGCAACACCTAAACCAGCCTGAGAAACGTTTCACTGAGTGAGCTACAGTTTGAGGCCACAGCAGGCGTTAATGATCCACCGACTCCGAGTGCTAATATTTAATATTCTGTCTAAATCCCACGGATCCAGGTCTGCTTGTACTTTCTCTCGTGTCTCGTGTACCAGATTTTGACTTTGACTCTTCATGCAAGGACAAATAATCTACAGGATCGTAAACAGAGCAGCAATTACTAATAAGGTTGCTCAGCAGCTTTAATCAATTACTGTGCCATCCTGCAGCCGGTTAGGTGCAGGGCGCAGCTGTCGCTGCAGCAGAATGAGGGCTTCCTTTGAGGTGGGAAAAGCAGGACTCAATGACTTCACTCAGCTGGGTCACCGGACACACAGCAGAGCCTTGACGCGTACAAATTGTGCTTGAAGATGGTGTGTTCATCCCGGAGGCTCAGTTGCTGGCAGGAGACCAGCAGAGTGGGGACTTGGCACTCCAGATGGCCCAGAAGGCCAGAGGAAGAGGGCTGTCCAAGCTGGGAGTACAGGAAGTCGGTCGTGTGTGTGCGTGTGTGTGTGTGTGTGTGTGTGTGTGTGTGTGTGTGTGTGTGTGTGTGTGTGTGTGTGTGTGTGTGTGTGTGTGTGTGTGTGTGTGTGTGTGTGTGTGTGTGTGTGTGTGTGTGTGTGTGTGTGTGTGTGTGTGTGTAGGAGTGATTGGGCGGGGAGAGAAAATGATACAGGCGCCTCTGTATGAGCTGGGATGCACGGAAGTAGTGAGAGAAAAAGTGTGGGAGGGAGAAGAGGTGAAAGAGAGGATGAAGGAGCTCACATGTCTGTGTGCGTGTGTGTGTGTGTGTGTGTGTGCGTGTGTGGTGGGTGTGTGTGTGGTGGGGGAGTGCTAAGGGAGTGACAGGGAAGTAGAAGTTGGAGAGATGAAAGTATCGAGATGGAGACAGGTGAATGTGCGTGTGTGTTTGTGTGTGTGTGTGTGTGTGAGAGAGAGAGAGAGAAGAGAGAGAGAGAGAGAGAGATGAGAGAGAGTGAGAGAGAGAGAGACGAGAGAGAGAGAGAGAGAGAGAGAGAGAGAGAGAGAGAGAGAGAGACGAGAGAGAGAGAGAGAGAGAGAGAGAGAGAGAGAAGAGAGAGAGAGAGAGAGAGAGGAGAGAGAGAGAGAGAGAAGAGAGAGAGAGAGAGAGAGAGAGAGAGAGAGAGAGAGAGAGAGAGAGAGAGAGAGAGAGAGAGAGAGAGAGAGAGAGAGAGAAGAGAGAGAGAGAGAGAGAGAGAGAAATTATGGTCTGCCTGCCCATTTTTACGTTGCTATCTGTAAATATCTGAAAGTTTTGACTCCCCGTCTGCACTACTTCAGACTCTAACTCCTGGTCACTTCTGCATGCCTGATTTGGCCAAAACTAGAAAACATTATTTTAAAAATAGAAGAAAATAAAAACCTAAAAGAAGTCAATAAAGTCCCACGAAGGTAAAGTAGGAAACTCATAAAAATGTGAAGTACAAAAAACAAAAGTAAAATAAAAATTAAATTGTGGGAACTGTTCCCTCTAGCTCAGATTTGACTGACTTAGCTGTTTTTCTATTTGTTAACGTTGATAAGCTGTGGTGGCCATCTTGGGTTGTTGAGCTGCAGGTGCACAGATTCAGTTTTTTTATGAGATTTTATAAAATCCCATCTCCTGCCATTTGCACATTATCTAATTTCAATACAAACATTTGACTGCGAGTATATAATCTCCAACGAGTAACTTTTACAATCCGATTGGCTGTATTTCCCATAAACATGAATACGCAGATGCCCATTGGGTGCTGGAGGGCATAACAGCATTGGCGCCGTATTGGATGGGTTCCTCACTCTCCAAACCCAGCTGGAGTCCTTGCAGGGTGAGCAACTATACCCGCTTTCTGTGCAGACCACGGATGCAACAACAGGCACACTATTGGAAACAGATTAGATGGGATTTATGTTTCTAGCCTACCTGTTGGGATTTAAAAATGTATTTTTGTGAAATATATTTATATTTTTATTATCTGGCCATATTTTATGTCTGTGCAGAAAAAAGCATAGTAAATTGTGTTTTTTTGTTTATACCTTCCTCAGTAGAAATAAATGCACTGGGGGGTGAATGGGAACCCATCCAAGATGGCGGCCCGCTGCTACTCCAGCCCCTATGGGCAGCACCTGTCTATAGTGCGTGGATGTATATGATGTCTGCGGTATTTCCCACGCGTGTGCGGGGGTCCCATCATGCACTTTGGTTTTGGAATACGTCTTGGGGTGGTTGACCTCTCGCTGTGAGGTCACAAGCTGATATTCCGTCGTCGCTCTGATTTCCAAGAAGCGTTGCGTGGGAGGATTTTTCTCACGTCTTCCCAGCCTGTTACATCTCTGAGGTGTCGCCCTCGCCTCCTAAAGCGAAGCCACCTGAGAGCGCGGGCAGAACACATAACGACCAACACAGCGGCAGCACGGGGACCACTTCCATTTGGGAAACCGCAAGAGAGCAAGCGACGGGAAAGCATGTTCCTTTTCCTTCTGCCACATCTGCTGTGTGATGGAATGGAGCAGGATCTGCACTTTGATCGCTATGAATTATTCCTCTCTCTGGCTATAAATATGGCGTGCCTGTACTCGCCCTCCTCGCTCTCGGAAGTAGGAATCTGTGCCGGCCTCTCCTGAGCTGCAGCTTTCTTCTGGGCATTTTTATCCCTCACAAAGAAACAAAACCTCAGTGAAAATGTAAAATCCAGTTAAGTAACAGCTTTATTTTAGCTAAGGGCAATCAAAGAGGCTTTGTTTGGTGCTAATCTATTTTCCTGTTTTTCTATCAAAAAGAAAAAAAAAACTAAAACCTCAACAAAACAACCAAAATCAACAACTTGTCGTTGCCTCCAACCCTTGAGCCTGAAAACGGACCGGATCGAAAACGTGTCTGCACACGTCGCTCACCCCGCGGCGTCATCGCAACAACGTGTGCTCCGTTCTGTCACTTCTCTAGGCCCGTGTGAGTTCCTCCAGCCTGTAAAGTCTTTAAAACGTCCCTCGTGTTGCAGCCGCATCACATGTTGGATTTTAAGAGTCTGAGCTGCGGGACAAACAGGAAGTGAGGCTGTTTTTACCTGCTTGTGTCTCCTCCATCAACATTCCCCAGTGGGAACTTCAGAGCTTCTGCTGCTTCTCTTGTTTTCCCACAGCAGCTGTTTGTCTGAGTCTTCCTGTCAGGGAGGGGAAGACAAGTGGCTGGTTACCATGGTGACACTGATGAGCTATTGTTAGAAGCTTGAACGTTTATTTTGTTTCCTTTCTTCAATCAAAACAAACATTTTGTCTCAACTTAAAATTTAGCAAAGTTGATCTTGAAATTTCAGAAGCTAGCTTCAAAGTTAGCTCAGATTTA